ACCTACTAATACTATACAAATAAAATCTATACGATTGCATGGCACAACGACACTTAAACCACGCCCAAAAGTATATAAAAAAAAGTTATTTGTATATAAGGGGTGTTGAGTTCGTCACGCCATTTATATCCCTCAGAATGTCAAAAGTCAATAATATTCAATGCTACGACCTACCTAACTATTTAAGTTGTATTAGGAATAATTAAAATTGATCAAATACTTTGAAAAAATTATTAACTGCATAGATTCGTTATAAATATACTTATACAGCCATCAGGTACTTACTATATATGTCCTACATAGTAATATTGAATACATTTATCAAAGTTATTCATCAGTGCAATTATTATATGCACCGCATAATATATGACAATTAATGCAAGAAAAATTATAATATGTGGTGCAAACTACAAAATTATTTCTATTAAATGATTAATTCATTTTTTCCAACAATTACATTTTCCTACGTATGTATTTTAAATTATTTCTTAGTGAAAAAAATAAATAGATTCCGTTTCACTTGACACTGATATAGTGTAGGTATATAATGGCAGCGATCTCTATGAAATAATTGTAAATAATGTAATAATGTAAATATTACTTACTTGTCTTGAATTCCCAACATGTAACCAATAGTCCTCCAAAAATGAATAATGGCTCTTTCATCTTCTTCAGTGCCTACAATAGCCAATTCTTTTTTTTTCAACAACAGTAAGCCCATGAATCCAAATTGAGTTAAAGACATATCTTTTTGAGTTACTCGCAGTCCAAGTCCAGACTTATTTGATACTCGATTTGCAGCACAATGAAGTCCGTGTACAATGGCCACAGATATCTGAGATCTAAAAATAATATATTTTAAAGTAAACTGGTTTTCATATGTGAATGGCTGGAGAATATTAATTATTAAATGTGATTGTTTATAATAAGAAATTTTTATTAATATAAATTAATAAGATTTTTAAGTAAAACTTCTTTCTTGAGGTATCTATGGGTGGAAAAAAAATCGAAAAAATGAAACGCAACGATTGTTGTTTCATCTTTGTTGTTTTTATATAAATCTATATATATTTTAAATTTACTCGTATAATCCATTTATATAAATTCACGGACCCCAATGAAAGAATTTTCACCTCTCCAAAGTGTAACGGTGAGCTCACTCACACTCACGTGGTGTAGTTTTTTTCAATATACATCATTARGTATACWAGTACGAATTACGTTAGATATATAGCTATTWGTCAATTATACTTTAATCCTTGTATCATAGATTTTTAGATATTTACTTTAAGTTATTTTCTTATATAGGTGCATAAAGTCCATCGTACTTGTTAATTATTTTAAGAAATTGTTTTTTAAAAATATTGAATACAAAATTATTTCATGCATTATGTTTGSTTCGTGTCGTTTTTTGCGAAGCTATAATATTTTTTGAAATGACGGCGAGTCGGCGAGTTGTATTAGTGAGTATAAGTAAGTAAACAGATATAAACACAAATCGCAATAAATACATAAGTATCTATTATGCCATAATGGGAGAAAACATAAATTGGAATTATACGATCGAGAATGGGATTTTTTTTATATAAATATATTATTTTTATTTCCTATTAGGTAGCTAATAGGCATATAGTAGTAGATATCTTAAAGGAAGGCATATTTTATTATAACTGATAAATTATCTTTATTTTAGTTTGTAATGAATTAATTTTTTGCAGCAGATTTTACTTATCATAGTATATAGAACTGTACATTTTAAGGATTACTTATTTACGTATCTAACACCTAAATTCAGTCAAATTTACTTAAATTTTGACCATGCAATTCGTATTTACAGATTCTTAAGT